AAAATTTTGGTTGTTGTGTGTTCGACCACACCACAAAAATGTTAGCAAAGCTCGAAGAAAAATAATTTTTTGGTTCACAGCAAAATGCTTGTCATATAATTTTCATATTTAAAAAAAATGCTTATCGTAGAGTTTTTTTAAATTTTTTTTGTACCTATGGAATTGTACGAAATTGTATGATAAGCATTTTTGGTCAACTCGGGCAATCAGAAAGCAGCAAAAATCGAACTAAAAATAGAACGCTATAGTTCTAATTATTACTTCTTTTATTTATAGGGCTGGTAATTCTGTAGTAGATATTATGGGCGGATTGTAAAACAGATTGGAGTCGTCTCCACTGATATAGAAGGGTAGCCAAAAGTCTTTTGAAGCTCAACATTTTTTAATGTCTCGCATCAGTGTGTGCTTCAGAGACAGAGCATTTCCGGGTACTTTGACTAAACTTGTATCATTTAGCTACTTATACAAGAATCGTTAGTGATAAGTACTGATAATGAGGTGTATTATCAAAACTGGAGTTCTGCTCAATAGGAATTCGAAGGAAAACGGACGCTATCACATTCTCTTTTAAGTAAAGGAAACACTTCCGGTTTTTTAAACTAAATTTGGATCAATTGGCGACTATCTTACAGGACTCCTTAGAGATAAATACTGATATTGAGGAACCGTAACTTTATGATAAACATAAATAGCCTAAAACTTTCCAATTTTTCAAAAGATGTTCAACTACATCCCGGGTTGGCCTCCATAGAAGAAAAATGCTTGTCATACAGTTTCATGTATGAAGTCAATGGAAAAAATGCTTATCATAAAAAATTCATACAAATTTTAACAACTGTATTAAAGGTTTTTAAAGAAATATTTCTGTTATATTTCCTTCTTCTTTTATTGAATATTTTTGGTATGATTGTCTTTTTTGAAGCACTCTGGTTATTGAAAAAAATGATTTAAAATTTTCGATGGAAAACGCTTATCATACAATTTTCATGTATGAAAATTATAAGATAATCATTTTATCATAGAAAAAATAAAATTTTTTAAAAATCACCAAAAGACGTCTCTGGGTAACTTTAAGGTTTGAATAATTATATCTACGATAGAGGGCATTTTGACCAAAATAAACATAATTTTAATTTCAGTCGCAAAAAATGCTTATCATATAGTTTTTATATATGAAAATTGTTTGATGTGCATTTTTTTTCATAAGCAAAAACACAAATTTGAGGTAAAAAGCTTTAAATCACTTTTTAGGTTGCAACTTTGCTTCTGTGCCTAAACATTTTAAGACAAAAAACTTTGCATGGAAAATTTGACTTTTTGTGTTTATAACGCAGTCCAGAATGTGTTTTTTACCCAAAAAACCCACAAAACAAAAAAAAATGTTTTTTTTTTGTAAGCGCGATTAATAATTTTTGTTTCATTTACTAAGATAAAAATCTGCCAATTACCCTCTGGGTTTTCGTATGACAAAAAATCTCTGGTCAGTGTTTCGGATGAAATACAGATATCAAAACAAAATTTTTTTGTGTTTTCATTTATTGAAAAAGTGCTTGTTATAAAATTTCATAGTATGGAAAAAATGCTTAAATTGCTTTTTTCATACACCAACTTTTGCTCAATGAAATTGTATGAAAGAGTATGCCAAGCATTTTTTTCAATTATGAGAACTGTGTGTTAAGCATTTTTTGTCAACCGGGGATATTAGCCAATCAAATTTAATGATAATACTATCCACATCATTCCGGCTACAGATCTCATTTTTTAAATTAAAAATTTGTTTGTAAATGAGCACAAAAAAAAGATATAACTCAGTCTTCATTCAGTTTTTGTTTAAAAAAATAGCAAAAATGAATAAAAAGTCATGCATCTGCCACTAAAAGGCCATGCCGAAATGTTCATCCTGTTCTTTCAGAACCATGATTTGTATTGCTGTTCCAGAAAGGCAAAATTAATTACAAAAAAACCGCAAAATACACGAATATAAAGCTAGCAACCGTTTATGCGTTCTTGGTGGATATTCAACCACTATATCTACAAACTTCCATATCTTAAAGCCAAAATTAAATCAGAATTATATAACAATTGCATAATAACAGTGGGCAATCTGTTGTTATGCTGCATAATAAAATTGATTTTCGGCTTATTGGAATGGTGCTCTTAGTTTCGATTTAATGGCCCTTCGGCCTGTTGGCCCACCACTGCTTACTTGTCTATATGCTTTTTATACACTCTGATTTTCAGGCACATTATCAAAAACAGAATTCTGATCAATAAGAATTACAATTCGACGGAAAACGGAATTAAACTATCGCATTCCCGATAAAATGACTGAGAAAACCAAAATAAAAATTAAATGCTGTCACAATGAATTCTGTTATATGGATGCTTTCTTCCGCTATCTGATAGTTTTGAATTATTAGCGGTATCATTTTTTCATTCACAGCAGTTCAACTGTGACTAAAAAATTGAAGTTTACAGTTTTTGATGACAATGCATGTCGAAATCAAAACCAGTAGCTAGTTCGGGCTCAAAACCATTGTTTAGGCTCAAAATTACTTTTTTTTGCTGTTTGACTTTTGAATTTTTTTAAGATGGGTTCGTTTCATTTGTTAAAAGGAAGACAAACTCCACTATAAAACAGCAAGCATCTGAAGGTCACAATGACGTGATCAACTTCTTGTTTCGAAAATAGATCTTAATTAAAGCCAGCCAAATAAAAAACTTACTTTTTGATCTTTTTTTCTCAAACTGGGTGAGTTTTACCAAAAAAAGTCAATCAAAAATGTTTCCCGAAAATCAAAAAAGTTTAATGTCAAGTATTTCAAAATTTTAGACTTTTCAAAAACAAGTTAGTTTTTTTTCTGTTTTTTTAGTCCATTGAATCTTTTCCAAATGTCTGTTGGCTATTTTACAATTTTTTCAAAAAAAAGTTTTTGTGGCATTTAGAGAGCTCAAAAATCTAACTTGCTGGCATGGATAATTTGAAAACTGTGAAAATTGCCTCCGTGAAATTACTGCGTAGCTTTTTTATTGCAAGGCTTGTGGATCATGTAGATATATGTACCAAAAACGAAACTAACATTCGAAATCTGTGCTCCTCAAAGCAGTTTGGAAGATGTTAACTTGGTTTTATGTTGGAATTTTCAGCTAATCAGAATCGAGCATTTTCAAAGGTTTTAGCAAATTTAGTGTGAATTAGATACTGGGATTGAAGATCTTGACTTGACCTAAATGCGGGGGTAGGATGTCAACTTGGTTCAGGATTTTTATTTCGAGACGAAGGTGGAATTTCAAGAAAAAAGTCATTTCGAGGTCTTCTTTAAAGCTGAAGTCCCGTTTTTTTCTTTTAATATTTGCAATCTGGATTCGGATCAACTTGAAAATCCCTACCCCTTGCAAAAAAGGGGAGTAGACTGCTAAGTAGATCAAAATAGTCGATTTTTCTACCAATCAGAAAGCAGCAAAAATAGAAACCTCTATTCCTCTTTTTCTTATTGGGGTTGATATTCTTAAGGGAAGAGGGATTGATAAGTAAATCCCTGGAATCAGTAGTTTTTCATTGGCGACCTTAAACCGTTTCATAGAAATTTTTTGGAAATATAGTCTAGAAACAGCCAATGAGCAAAAGCTGAATAAACAAAACCTGATTGGTTTAGATGAAATTAACTATCAATTTTACCCCAGTCATAATTTTAATTTTAGTGAAAATCAATTTACACAATAAAAGACAATATTTTAATTTTAAATTAAGGGTCTTTTTTGTTACACGGACCAAATTATCAAACTAATTATTTGAGCTTCCGTTTTCATTGAAAACGCTGAGAATCCTTTTTTCCTGGGTTTTACAATTTGCCAATCAACTTGCAATTTGCCAAAACGCTGAGAATCCTTAAAATCAGCAGAAAACTTCTCAGCGTTTTTAATGAAAACAGAAGCTCAAATCTCAGATTCGAGCATCATTAACAAACTTTCGAAAATGCAAAATATTTTTTTGGCCGTATTAAAGAAAAGAGCCAAATTTAGTTTCAAACCGATAATTGTTTTCTTAAAATTAGTGTTTAAAACGTTTTTCTGATTAGCTGAAATAAGAACTTTATTTGCTAATTGAAGTTGATTGGCAAAAAATATGGAATTTGAATGGATGGAAAAAAAACTCTTTTAACATAGTGGAACAGTTTCCTAATTGAAAAAAGAATTTTTTTATTTTGTCGCGCAACATCAAAAAATTTATTGTTCTTCGCTTGGACGTTTTCTGTTCTACGATTAGTAGTCTTATTGTACTCTTCATTATACACTGTGATTTCAAACTGTTTAACAAACAATTGATAATAAGTAAAATAATTTCAAAAATATCTTTTAAATGGTCAAATAGCAAAAAACAGTGATCATAAAGTAGACAAGCCATAAAGTGGAATACTATTCTAATAATTAATCAAAATTCAGATTTAAAAAAGCAAGCAAAAAAAATTTATATCTCATTGGACAAAAACGTAACAAATAGTCTGAACACATGCATGAAAAACTCAAAAAATTTATATTCAGACTTTCTTTTTTTGCGCGATATGATGAGAAAATTACCCAAACGCGCGACACGTTAGAAAATTGGTCATAAATCACAAAAATAGGTTTCTGAAAAGTGCATATAAACAACAAAAGATAAAAAATATTTCAGAAAAATTTTTCTAGATTTTTTTCCTGGTTTTTTGCAGAATATTTTTTAAAAGTTTCATTACGCCAACTGATGGGAAAATAGGACTTATATCAAGAAACAAGATTTTTCCAAATAGGACCTCCTCGTTCGATTCCTTCCAATAGTTATTCGCGGTACATAAAATAATTGTGGCATCTGATTAAGCACAAAAGTACATTTTCGATTTTTTTATGAGGCCAAGTAAAAAAAAAATTATGATCCTAAATTCCCAAATGAAACATAAAAATATTTCATTATGCTTGCTTAGAATTCATTTATCGAATTCAATGACAATCGTTTTTGATGTTTTTTAAGGTGGACCGTACCCGATGATAGTGTAAGACCGGAACAATCCGTGAATCAACTGAAGCAAGCTTCGGTGTCAACTCGGGAAAAAATAATTTCAATATTGGTGCCAGGCAATGCCCAGCATGCCAGACATTAAGCTGACAAGAACAGATACTACACATGATCTTAGCCAAAATGCCATTTTATTGTTTGATAGAAATTTCACTTGCAAGGAGGCTAACCCGGGAAAACAGTCGGATTGATAAAACTAAAAATTTTCTAAAACCTTTTTTCCAAAATGCATTTAAACGAACGAAAACGAAAAGTATGTTTCAGAAGACTTTTCTAGGCTTTTTTCTGTGTTTTTTTCCGAGTAATCATATTTCACATGTGATCAGTTTTCGTAAAGTGCTTGAAATCATTCTTATTCTCAACTGCAAAAATATTCAAAATAAATCCGACACTTTAAGTATTACATCTGAAATTTTTTATGAAAGCGGTCGGAAATTCTTTAATAGATGCCCGCACTGAGCGCCCATGGTTTCTAATCAATTATAATGGATTACCGAGATAAAATTAATCTATTATAATCCATTAAGTTCAGACCACGAAATTGATTATATTGTCATTAAAATCGAAGGTAAAGTAAACTGGGGGAGGGGGCTAAGGTAAACTGCGGATGTGGAGGTATTGGGGTTGAGGGACTGGGGGGATGGAGGGACTGGGGGGATGGGGGCAAAGTAAACCGGGGGGAGGGGGGAGGGGGCAAAGTAAATTGGTGGGGAGGGGGTTGTTAACGTAAACGGGGGGGGGGTGATTAATTAGAATATATAAGACAAAAAAAACATATTTTTTTGAATGTGAAATGTAACATTTTATGAAACGTACGTTGCAACTGAACTAAACAAGAAATTATATAACTTTGAGGGGCATGGAGGGACTGGGGGATGGGGTAAAGCAAACCGGGGGGGGGGGGGGGGGGTAAAGTAAACTGGTGGGGGGTAAAGTAAACTGGTGGGGGGGGGGGGGGGGGAATTAATTAGAATATATAAGACAAAAAACAACATATTTTTTTGAATGTGAAATGTAACATTTAATGAAACGTACGTAGCAACTGAACTAAACAAGTAAGGATATAACTTTGAAAAAAGATGTAAATGTCATGAATAACGTCTTGAAAAAATCCAACATCATCAATTATTTTTGATTATACTAGATTATGGTGGCATAAAAAATGTTGCGGTTATAATCCAATTTTATTGGGTTACATTTGATTATAATGGATATTAATCGATTATTTTGTAAATTTGTAGATACTGACCATATTATGACAATATAATCGATTATGATGCATGGGCGCTGGGTGGGGTTGTTTGCTGTAGCGACTTTTTGGTGTCTTTTTAGCTACCAGTGAATTACTGACGACGTATATTTTCTTCTAATCAGAACCTTACGAGACCAAAGTGTGCTTTTGGCGAATGTAAGCGGATTCGGCAACAAGAACACTCCCTTTGTTCTTCTTTTGTTTTGTCATTTATGTTGATCTTTCCGACAAAATTCTAGCATGTTTAAAGACTTGTCTCTGGCATCCATGAACATACAAACAGAAAATTGTGCGCCTCGTAATGAAATGTTGTTAATTTTTTCGTCCTGCCCTTGGACGCATTCTGCGCGGAGATCATCATTTCGGCGCAATGTCTATATTTGAAGTTCAGTGTCATCGCATTTCGAGTTATTGAAAGTCATGAACACCCAGACACTTCAAAAACTTCTTCAAAATTTCGATTTTTATGGCCGGCGAATTGCGTTTTTTTAACTTCAGTGTCATTCTATAATTAATTCTTCAAAATGAGGAAGTTTTCTGAAATTTTATGTTTTTTCATCGCAGCGATAATAAGGAGCAAATTAGCGTTCCATACAGTTATTTTAATAATACACCCTGGTCGATGACGTCACGTCGCACAGCAAATCAGAACTGTTCAAGAATAGCAGATAACATAGCTGATATCTGTAATAGCAGATATCTGTAAATAACAGATATTTGTAACGTAGCTCGAACAGAGGCAACTATAAAACGCCATCTAAATTCAAAGATTCAAACGAGATTTGATTTCCCGGGTCGAGGTCCGCGAATTAAGAAAAGACCGGCGCGACCCAAATGTGGCATTTCCAGACCGGCGTGACTTTATATTGGCAATTCCAGACTGGCGCGACCAATACTTGGCAATTGAAAACCTGCGCGACTGAAAAAAAAACAGCGTGACCGGCGCGACTCAAAAAATCGTCGGAACCGGCGCGACCTAACGTAATGGCTCGACCGGCGGGCCTGAAAATTTTCAATTCGGGACCGGTGCGACTGAGGATAGACCGCCGCGATATACACGATTGAGCAAAACACCAAAAGATTTTTCTGAAGTCGCGCCGCCAGTCTTTTCTTATGTCGCGCTTCGGTCTTTTCGTAAGTTGCGGCGTCAGTATTTTTGTAAGTCGCGCCGCTTAGGTCTTTTCTTGAGTCGCGCCGTCGGTCTTTTCTTAAGTCGCGCCGCCAGTATTATTTTATGTCGCGTCGCTTAGGTCTTTTCTTAAGTCGCGCCGCTTAAGTTTTTTCCGCCGCAATATGCGCGACTGAGCAAAAAACCAAAAGTCTTTTCGTTAGTAGCGCCGCCAGGCTCTTCTTAAGTCACTTCTTTGGTCTTTTTGTAAGCCGCGCGGTCAGTCTTTTTATAAGTCGTGGCGTCAGTCTTTTTGTGAGTCGCGCCGCTTATGTCTTTTCTCAAGTCGCGTTGTCGGTCTTTTCTTCAGTCGCGCCGCTTAAGTCTTTTCTTAAGTTGCACCGCTTAAATCTTTTCTTTAGTCACTCCGCCAGTCTTATCTTAAGTCGCGCCGCTTAAGTATTTTCTTAAGTCGCGCAGCTTAGGTTTTTTCTTAAGTCGCGCTTTCGGTCTTATCTTAAGTCGCGCTGCTTAAGTCTTTTCTTAAGTCGCGCCGTAAGGTCTTTTTTTAAGCCGCGTCGCTTAAGTCTTCTCTTAAGTCGCGCCGCTTCAATCTTTTCTTAAGTCGCGTCGCTTAAGTCTTTTCTTAAGAAAAAACTGGCGTCACGACTTAAGAAAAGACTGACTGCGCGAATTGAGAAAGAATTAAGCGGCGCGACTCAAGAAAAGACTGATGGCGCGACTTAAGAAAAGACTGACGGCCCGACTTAAGAAAAAACTAACGGCGCGACTTAAGAAAAGATTGATGGCGCGACTCAAGAAAAGACTGACGACACGACTCAAGAAAAGACTTACGGCGCGACTTATGGTAAGACAGACGGCGCTACTTAAGAAAAGAGTGACGGCGCGACTTAAGCCCGCGGCGCGATTGCAAAATCTAGTCTGAAAATGTTATGCGGCGTGACTTACAGAGAATTTTTTAAGAAGCAGACCTCGACCCGGGTTGCAATACTGGATCAGAAATCAGTTCATGATCAATATGTTTGCTGTTAAAAGCAATAAACTCTATAAATGTGGTTTTTCATTTTCACTGTAACTCTAAAATACAGTTTAAGCTCTCTGAAATCGCTGAGAGTTTTTCAACATATTAGCCTATTTGAACTATAGTTAGATAAGAATTGGGATCTTTTACAATACTTCGATTTGATTTCTGATTTTAATTCTGATCAGAGTTGAAGTGGTTTTGTAAAATCTGTACAGAACTCATCTCGAAAGTTTTTTGAAACCGTATTGATTTTTACTGCAAGACTAATACAATACAAGCAATCGGAATGTAACTTAAAAAAGTAAAAAATTTGTTTTATGTTTGATTGTATTTGAGCACGGTATCAATTCTCAACGGTTATCACACTTGTTGTTGCTCCAAATTTTGAAGAAAGTGACGGAATATTTGTGCTCCGGGTAATTTTTATCCAGAAAAAAATCGACTTTTTAACAAGCAATTTTTGTCGGAAAGGTTTTATATCAACCAAAAATTGTCGTTGTCTTGAGCTCAAGTTTCAAGTAATCATATTTCACATGTGATCAATTTTGGTAAAGTTATAAGAGTTTAAAGATTGCCAACTTAGGATAATTTTCTCACGATAAATTTTGTGCTAATAACGCTTAAGCCGAGATTTGATCCGTATAAGAAATCGTTCCAAAAAAGATTGAGGCATGATCTTTGATCTATTTAAAACTTTGCTATAAATGGGGGATAATTTTCAGAGAGGAAGAAAAACATTTAAAAAAATAATTCTTTCAGTTTTTTTTTCGAAAAATGCATCAAATAACTTATTTTAAGTTACTCCATATAAATTATAACGCAATCGAAACTCTGTGTTTTGCCTTGATACGACAAGCAGCCTTGTTGTTTTGGATTTCTAGGAGAGTGACGTAATATTTGAGCTCGAGGTTTTTTTCCCAGACAAATTTCTACTTTTTAACTAGCTATTTTTGACAAGATGTTTGTTATCAACCAAAAGTTTTTGCTGTCTTAATCTCAAATTTAAAAAGACATTTCGTTTGTGATTGTTCTTGTAAAGTTTTTTTTAAGTTCACAAATTTTTGTTCCCCTAAGAGTGATTCCAAACTGCACTCTAATCATCAGCAGATAAAAATTTAACATGAATTTATGTACATTTTATGTATGACATACACCAAGATGAATTGGCCGAGCGCTATTGTCTATTTAAAGTATAGAATTCTTATATGTATGTTTGTATAATCCCAAAAACTTTTCTATACATACATTTTTTTTTTAAAATCTTAGTTTTTAGTACATATGTACTGAACTGAAACCAAATCTAACTGCAGTTTGGAAAAATTCGAAACAAGTTAGAAGCTAGTTTTTCATGGTGGAGAAGTTTTTGCAGTTTTTGCTAGGTCGACGACTTGAGAGATATTGCGAACGCCCATAGAACACTATAAAGAAAAAGTCGCAGGCAAATATTTGAATTTTTGGAAATTTTGGACCAAAAAATTGCGTTTTATGATGCGCGACGAAAATTTTTTTGAAGAAGTCTTTGATATTTTTTTCTAATTTCAAACCCAAAAATGCTCCAAAAATCTCAAAACTAACTTAACTGGAGTAAAACGAAACTGTTTTGACTTAAACTGAATTAAAAGCCAATTGTGAGCTTGAATATACCCTCGACTTTGAGCAAACTGTTTGACGTTTTTTTAAATTTCATTCGAACCAGGACTATTTTTTTTCAATTTTTCATAAGTTCCTATTCATTGATTATTTGTAACACCTAAATTAATGTGAAAAAAAAGATAGAAAAAATGAAAACGCATCCAAAAGTAAAACCTCCTCCCCATTTTGAATGGTCGGAACAAAAATTGTTCAGAACACATGATGTATATAGGTATCCAGATTGGTCTGGGAGTGCAAGTCAAATGTTTTTCAGTAATGGTTCAATAAAGTTCCAGCAATGCTTCAGAGATGAAATCAGAGATAATGTCGCACTTTTGTAACGGTATAGATTAAATATTATTTTTCAACTCTGATACTACACAGGTTTAACTAACCGATTATAACAGATTATTATGCTGTTTACATTTAGCAAAATTCGATTCGTAAAAGATTCATAATTGAACATGTTTGTGATATTTTCAATGACATTTATTTATTTCAGAAGAAATGAAAAAAATGTTTAAAACTGAATTGATTCGTAAACTGCTACAACAATTTTGCAATTTTTCACACAAGCAAGCAATTATGTAAATCATGAACATAAGCAATTTAGATGCAAGAATGAAGACAAAAAATGCTAACAGAGCAAAAGGCATTGTAATCGATCATAATCGATCAAAATGGACTTTTTGTGCATAACAAAAAATATGGAAATGATTAAAAATTATCGATTGTATATAATTATAAAGTAGCACATAATTATATAGTTGAAATTGATATTCAGCTAAATTTTTCATAATCTCGTTTTTTGATCACTTATCTAGTATTGCAAAACTAAACCTAGTTAAACTGTATTTCTTCAAGAAACACTCTTAAAATGTGTTCACTCTAAGTTTGATTTTTCGCGTTTTGATTTTTTTCAAGTTCAGCTCATTTCAATTTTATAAGCAGATCAAATTTCACTATCGAACAGCAAAAATGTAAGAGTCACGGAAAACGTGATCGACTTCTATACTGGAATGTACTTTTGGTTTTCAGATTTCCCGGCGGAAATTTTTTTTAAATCAAATTTTCTCAAGATCATTGAACTTTTTCCAACTGTCTGTCGGTTAATTCGGTAACAAAAATAGTTTCCAAGCTGAAAAGCATGCCCCTATTTCTTGTCTATGGGTCCAATGTCAAATTTTTATTCACAATTTGATTATTTATGTGGAGTTTTCTAGATTTCAGGTAAATAACTTAGTCTGATAGGTAAGCAACTAGTCTGATGATTTTTGGTAATGATCAAAATTGGGCTGAAAAAATTCTACTGGAATCTACTGCGAAAGTCGTTTCTTACCAAAAAAAAATTTCCAAAAAAATTGTTAGCCACAGAGTTATTGAAAAACTTTTTAAAAAAACACTTGGGTAAAAGATATTTTTAGTTGTTTTTGTTTCAGGGTTTCATCGCCATCATTTGCGTGTCAGTGATCGCTTTTTTGCCCACCCTCTACATTTTAATCACCACCCTCACCGGCAAACCCCAGACTGTGTTCGATGACGTCATGATGGAACTCATCGCTACGTCCATTCTGATTGGCTGTGCTATCAACCCAATCGTGTACGTTCTCATCTTGCGTGAGTTCAGAGAGACGTTCAAACATATAATCACGTGCCAGATCACGTGTCCGCCCGAGAGAAGAGTGGTGGACGAAATTGAACTGTCGTCCGAGTGAACAGTCGGCTCAGTAAAACAACCTTTTGTCGTCATTTTGGAAATGAACTACATTTAATATACATATATATCGAAGAAACTTTCGTCGTTTAAGTGAGCTTAATAGCAACATATGAACCAATGCTTGTCATGTCATGATAAAATTCAGCTACATGAACATATTATGGCCAAAAATAGTCTCTCAATTTGATGTTTGATTGTTGATTTTTCGTTTTATCTGAAACCATCCATCTTCAACTACCCTGCTTACTCTCTCAATTTTAGTGCCAATAACGCACTGGATCCGGGCAGAGGTGTCAAAGCGGTAGAGATAGCTGCGCTATTAGCGGGAGTGTTTCGATTGACCAATAGCGAATAAGTTAGCGGCGGATTGTTCGATAGCGCTGTCATCCGGGGTGTTTTCTGCATAGTGCTGATTTAAATTAACCGGACAAAACGCGTTAAAATTGAAATTTAAAACGCGTTTTTCTCAAGTTGGGTTGAGTTTAGGTGAAAACTTATGAAGACAAAACTTGCTTAAAATTTTATCAGAATTAATATGATGTAATTTGTTTTGCGAAATTCGGGCCCGAAATTTACCCCAAAAATGGGTCATTTTGGCTTTTCTTAGTTAATCAAAAATTACGCCAAAAATACCCAGTCGATCACAGACATAATTATATCAAAGTGAGCCCCTTACGTAGCCCAACAAACTTTATGAAGGATATTTTCTCCAAAATGTTGTATAAATTAATTTATTTTTGTTTGATAGACAAAAAGTTTGTTTTCACTATATAAAATACCAACTTTTTATTTAAAAACAATTTTGAAACAATTTGCAATTCTTTTGGAGAAAATACCCTTCATAAAGTTTGTTGGGCTACGTAAGGGGCTCACTGTGATCGACTGGGTATTTTCGGCGTAATTTTTGATTAACTAAGAAAAGCCAAAATGACCCATTTTTGGGTTAGAATTTCGGGCCCGAATTTCGCAAAACAAATTACATCATATTAATTCTGCTAAAATTTTAAGCAAGTTTTGTCTTCATAAGTTTTCACCTAAACTCAACCCAATTTGAGAAAAACGCGTTTTGTCCGGTTAATTTAAATCAGCGCTGTATTTATACAGCTCAAAACTGATCTTTTCGGAATTTTGAAAATTTAGTGGAACCTGATCTAAACTACATTTTATGATTGGATAAACTAGATATTTTACCAATGTAAAGTATTTAATATTAACCAATCATGATCCATCTAACTAACAACCCACTTATTTGTAAGTGCTGGAATTACTTGTAATTTCAGCACCAGAGAGATTTGAATTTAACTTAGAAATTAGTTGACTCTCCAAGAAGACTTCAGCAACCGCAATAAACCAGTATACCCTAGATCTATTGAGCCTAGCAGAGACTAGTTAAACAACCTGAGACTAGATAGTATAAGAGTAAGATTAGGATCGGTATTAGACTAAGAAGTTGCACGAATCTATCCGGCCGAAAATAAGATAGCGTGACGAGCAGACGGTGTACCCTATCCGAAATTACTCTATGAGTTTTACCCATCGGTCTTAACTCATCTGGTGCGACCATAAGTCTCGAACAAGACCTTAATAGCTTAGAATTAACCAATAATAGATTAGAATTTAGACAAAACATTTACAAAATGTTATACGACAATAATTTAATCGAAATGTCTCTACGACTCAATAGATCAGAGCCAATATTCCGAACGATAACAGAACTACCCGGAATTGGAAGAAGACCTCGAACCAGAGACGACATACGACAAAGCAGAAACTTACCATATAGTTATATGATAGTTCGGCAAAAGCCAGAACAAACTTTTGTATTTAGAATACTACTAGCAATGAATTTAGATTTTCATTTGCAAACATAAAATTTTGAAGTCAATCTTCAAAATCATTTCAGGCGCTAAACAAAATTGTTAATATACAATAACGATTGATAAAAAGATCTCAGATCGTTTTCCTAAATTCTGCAGTAATATACAAAACATGTTTGAAAAATATTTATTGAAAAATCAAAATAAATATTAGTAGCATGATAATAAATGGTTAGTAATTATAAATCATCCTGTTGTTCCAGCTTCATCACCTAAACATAACAGCATTCATAAGCTCACTAATATCATAAAAACACTAAATCTTTTCTTTACACAAATTTAAATCATTTTAAACTTAAATTCACTTAATTTTAAAATCAGATCATCAAGGCTTATCCTTGGATCTTAAATCATTTTCTATTTAATTAAATTTAAAACTTGATCATCAAGGCCTATCCTTGGATCAAAAAGAACAACTTTGTTCTCCCCCACCCACTTAACTAGTGTCTAACGACCTCAAACGTCGATTCACTATCCAACCCTTTCTAAAAAAAACGCAGGACTAATAGAAATTTTTGAACAAAACTAATCATTCAAATTAGGATAAACAGTGAAGAACTTCGGTTATTCATCCTTCACTTGATCCCCCCTCTTACCAGACCCAGGATAAATCTTAGACTTAGTAAGTTTAAAATAGTATCTAACGAACTACTCGCGTTCTAATTATACCTGAACCTTGTGGATCGATTTACTATTCTCCAACCCTGAACACAATCACTACCCTTAAGTAAGATTAAGTAAGTTAACACCTTAGCTTATACTAGCCACGAGAAAGTATAAAATCATTCTTCGGAATTGATATACTTTTCTCCCCAACCCTGAACAAATAGACCCAGGTTAGGCTAACAAAAAAATCGTAAGGACTAACAGTTTAAGCAAATAGAAATCATTTAACAACCTTTTGCACCCGTCATCCTAAACCTTATGTCATTTAAAAACCTAGGAAATAAACAAACAATCGTTTTACACAATTGTGAAATAGATAACAAAAAATACGACCTTGTAATCACACCTCATACACAAACAGTTGGATACATTAGAACAAAACGACAAACATTAAAGAGAAAAATAATAACTAAACAAAGACAAATAACACGAAAAAGATTTTCAAAAAATCAAAACGCATTTTCAGAATCAGAAACCAACAGTTTAGACGAACTTTATAAACTAAAAGAATCAATAGATAAAAATTGCCCAATTCACGATCAATTATATTTCTCTGACTCAGAAACAACTTCAAATTCATCAAAAAGAGGAAAAAGAAGAATAAAAAAGCAGTATAAACACAAACCAGTACATTTATACAATTGGAATCAACCAATTAGACACATTGATAATTACATATTAACAGTCATCGAACGAAAAAATGAGCTCAACGCACACCCCAGGTGAAGAAAGTCCAGATGATGATGATATCTTCCCCTTTATCGTAGATGCAACCACTGATAGAGGACAGCATATATTTTGCAAAAATTTACTCTTAAATTTGTTTGAACCCGGAATCAGTCCATGTAAAACAGAGTTCCCAGATGTAAAAATCAAAAGACAACTTATCGATCACTATCTAAAAGATATATGTAACCTAACACAACAATACGGAATCTACTCCATAGAATTCAACTCACCAAATCAGAATCACAATAAATATATAATTCAAACAGACGACCTTGATTTAGAATTTTCAAAAGTATTCTCAGAATATATAAAAAGCATCCAATATCATAACTCACAAAGAGCAAACTCCATATTCACCAATGAAGTTTTTGCGATAATATATAGTTATATATCGATATTAGAAATCGAAATCCAGATACCAAATGTCTCACCGACAGAAACATCTAAACATATAAGAGTACGACATGAAATCACACTACTCTCTAGTTTTCTAAATATAATTAAAGAAAATTTCACGAAAGATGAAGTTTCCCAACATACAAAACACGACTTACAAAAAATTTTGGCATGGTTCATAATAGATTATTTCACACATAATATTGATTTAATTTCACAAGCAAGAAAAAATTTTAGACCCCAAAACTCAAACGATGATACTGCCATCACAGAACAATCAGACTATGTTTGGGACCCCGAATGGTCTCATCCCGCGTTCATAAACTTCCCACAATCAATCTCAAGTCAAGCAATAAGTACGATATCTTATGTAAGAGATTATGTAAGAGTAATACCATTAACCATTGATGCAACACCATTAAACTATAATACATTTTTACCCGATATGCAAAATAATAGTTTAAACTCTACAGTCATACACAATGAAAACCTCAATGGAACTAGGAATCTTACTCAACAAGATATCCAGACACCATCACACTTCATAAATGAAGAAATCGTACACACAACAACTACACAACAAAGTATTTCACCAATACGTCCCAACTTAACAACACCAAGAAATACAAACCCTTCACAAACACAGGTAACCTTACAATCAACCGTTAAACCTTCGGTTGCCCCAAAATATTCACACATGGATTACCAAACATACAGACCCATGACAATACCGCCAAAAACACGCAAAACGTTCACTAGAAACAATTTTGCAGACCATAATTATAATTACACACATCCATCAAAAACAAATTATCAACCACGAAAAAATTTTAGTAATTATACAAGATCTCGAAACTGGAATAACTCAATGGCACCACCTAATTCAGTAAATTTCCAAACAAATTTACATCCTCCACAGGATCGTAGTGAAAACTATCCATTTTTTCAACAAAATAAAAATAAAAAACAAACATCTTATCAAATGGATTACTTATCCTCAGATGATGATTTCTTACAACCAGGTATATTTGCACCCTATAATTAAGAATATCGTGGACAAGGAATACAGAAACCACATACATATCATAGAATTTTTTCTCCACAACCAATAGATACACAAAATCAACAAACAATTCAGCAACAAAACCCAATTAATACACAATCTTTTCAATCAATTCAGCAACAAAACCCAATGATTGCAAACTCGTACCAACCAACACAAATGCAAAATGAAATACCACTCCCATATTATCTTCAACAACACGAAATAACAAGAAATCAACTTTCAAATTTTTCTCAAATGCCAAATGCAGCAGAATCATTACAAATGACAATGAATCCATACCTTATGGGTGGATCATCAATAACATCAAATAAACCTTTAATGGTATTCACAGGAACAGACCCTGAATATTCTGTAGAAGACTATTTAAATGCAGTAACAGCAAATTTAATTTTAAATATAGGACCCGAACCAATTAATACGCCACT